CAAGAGGCTTAGCTTTAGTCACTGAGAAAGACAAGGAAACTAACGATAGAATATAGTAGCTTCCTCTGGCGTTAGGTATTACAGAGTTACAGCTAGTGACAGCTAGCCTTTTATTATTGAAAGAAGAGGAGCTAACAGTGCCACTATCAGAATTAATACTAGAGATGGCAATAGGAGCTAGTATCGGAAAAGCTTAAGGCAAAACATAAAGTGTAGGCTAGAATGAAGCTGGAGAATGGGGAGGGGGCTTGGGTAACATCCAGAATCTGGCTGGGGACCTGGAACTACATGAGATGTAAGAATGGAGGGGTTCTAGCAGTAGTCAGAGGTCAGGTACAAATGAACAGCTGGAATCTGGGCATGGCAGACAGTGGAAAAAACCCCGGCAAGCAAAACGGTCAGAGCAGGAGGGGGCCCAAGGCCACATTCTTGAGATGTGGAGGGGCTGAGGAAGCCATGCCAAGTGAGAACAGATGCAGCTCAGCAGTTCCTAGCGAGCCCTGACAAGCCAGCTCAGCTGAAGCTTCGGGTGGGAACCAGTCATGGCACAGTGGAGTGAAGGAAGAGCAGTTTCAGGCACCCAGAACCTGACCCCCACGACTTGTTTTCCACCTGAAGAGCCACCCATTCCATCCAAACCCTTTGCAAAAGTCTGCTAACAGAGAGAACCGGCCAGTATGCTGGCCACTCGCGATCATGCCTGTCTGTCTTTACCCTCTAAGCTGAAGCTGCGCGTCAACGGTGAGATGGCAAAAAGGTAGGTCCAGAAGAGGGGAAAAGAAGGAAGTCTGGGAAAACAAAATGCTGAAGAATCTGCACCAAATAAACCCTTCCTTCCTTCTTCCTTCCATCCCTCTCTTCATCATTCAGCAAATCTTCAGTGAGTTCCCTTCTGAATGTATTGTATCAGAACTTGTGCAGGATATAAAGGGAAAAAAACAGGTTATCACATGGTTTAGGATGTTTCCAACCCTTGGATCATTTTCACCGCAGGCCCATTAGTTACAGAGCACTCAGTCTTACCCAGAAGCATCGGATCTAGTCCAGGCAACCGGATCCAAGCGTGTGGGCATCGCAGTGTGCTGCATGTGGGAATCTGTCAGGCCAGCATGATTTGAGCAGCAGCCTGCAGAAGTGGGATTTGGCCAGCCTTGCCTGACTCTGGCCATACAACTTGCTCTTATCTACTTCCAAAGTAAGGAGTGCCCCACGATGGGCCAAGCAGTCCAAAAAAAGTGGCTTGGAGTTAGCTACCGCAGTTAGCAGTTGCTCATGATTCAACATTGCATTACCTCTTTTTCACATTAGTTAACTGCAGAATTTTATTTTCATGTATTTGTTATTTTTCTAACCCCAGTGTTGTAGGAAGAATATTACATATAAATGATGACTTAGGAATCTTGTCAAGTTTTTGTTTCTTCAGCACTAAGTAGCTTATTTTCTAGGCAGGTCTTAATTCTAAATGTAACATGCTTGAAAAAAACACTATTGAAAGGATCCGTCTCTTCAGCATAGAATTTAATATACATATCAGGCAATCACCATCTCAAGCATGATTAGACTCAAGCGCTGCCCTCCATCGTGTGAGGGATGCCAGGAAACTGGAAGCTTAGACTTTAGCTCTTTATTAAGTTGGTGCAAAAGTAATTGCCGTTTTTACCGTTAATAATAATAATTGTCTAGCCATTGTGCGGTACCTTGCAAGAGCTCTTTGGCAAATGAAAGAATAATTCAAAGCAAAGTAGGCCAGATATAAAACACTTCCAAATCACATTTCAAAATTGTCCTTTCATGTCAACTAGGTGCATGTCTGCTAAGGGAGTTTTTGCCAGGACAGGTGGATAGTATGAGGCCTTTACAATAATCACATTACCATCTGGTACTATCTATATGGCAGAGCCGTTCTGATGTAGTTGTATTATCACAGATCATTACAGAGTATGCCAGTCATTCCATGATGGGACTGTGACTGGCAGCCTTTCTTAGCCCAAAGACTGATGCAACAGATTGCTTTGAGAAATCGTTTTGAAGCACACCCATGAAACATATGATCCTAGGGGTACCAGCATTGATTTCTTTGAGGTACCGTTTTACACTTCAGTTTTTCCTGGTAGAGTATTTTTCTGAGACGTCTCTTCTGAGGCTAAATTAGGAATTTCTGTTCCTTCTTCAAGTTCCAAGAATTGTGCCTCTCCTGCCCTCTGCCCAGACTGGAAGATAGAAACCGTGGGAAAAAAAGTGTCTTTACAAACTGCAGTTATCTAACTTGGTTTATTTAACATATTCAGGAAGACTTTCACATCCATGGAATCCTAGTTCTATTAATTCTCTCCAAGCTACAACAGTTGTTTTTTTGTTTTGTTTTGTTTTTCGAGTTTCTCGGTTCTGCCAGCAAGGCAGGGGTGGGAGGTGGGCAACCCTGATACCAATGCTGACAGGTAGTGAGTTGACGTGGAACTTCTGTTTCCTCCTGTTCAGTTCAGGTTCTCTCTTTCTGATACTTACCCCTCCTCAAATAGGGAAACAAAGAGAGGGGAAATAGGAAGTTGAGCCTTAATAGGGTTTACTTAATTGGGGGCATAAAGGTTCTAAAAAGTATGCATTCCTGCAGTTCTGTTCTTAGCACTGTAAGAGCTGATCAGAAAGAGAGCTTCTACCCTTATAACCTTCATCCATCTCAGTCATGCCTGGGAAGGATGTTGGTGCTAATTTTAGACACAGAGACTAAGATGGACAAAGGACAAGTATCATAAAGCATTTTTGGAGCCAGGAACAGATTTAAGTTCCTTGCCTCACTGCTGCTCTTACTCCAAACCACACAATTGTACCCAAGTGAATTGCTGTTAGAATTGGTGCCTTTGGAGGAGACAATTGCTCGTAATTGGTAGCTACAAGCCACTTCACTGAGAAAGCATGGGGTCTTAGATGCTTTAAGAAATAATAGAAAGACTGAGCCTGAGTGAGTCAGGCTCTTCTGAGTCATACAGTTTTTAGGTCAGTGTAAAATACTGACTTTCTGAGGTCTTACTTTTTTCCCTCTCTGGAAGACCTAAGGCAAAGATCTCTCTCAAAGAGGTATTAAAGAATAGAGGCCTTTCCCTCAGAACCTACTTCTGCCCAGTGTTCACCAAAATGTGGTTTCAAATCACCTGTTCAAAGCCCACAGGGTGCTTGTTAAACATGCAGATTCTTAGCGCTCCCTCCACCCACACAGACACTGCACAAGAGGCCCTGCTTTGGACCCCTAGTTCCTAAACATGGCAGAAAATCTGGATCATCTGGGAGACTTTTTAGGTTAAAAACCGGAAACAGTATGTAAGCATAAACATGTCAACAAAATGAGAGGATGTCCCTCTGCTTGCCGTGCTTGGTATTTTACTTCTATACTGTTTCCCTATACGTGTACATATAATTTTGTTTTGTTTTTGTCAGAGTCTCACCCACTCTTGCCCAGGCTGAAGTGCAGTGGCCCAATGGCACTGCTCACTGCAGCCTCCACTTCCCCAGTTCAGACTCCCGAGTAGCTGGGACTACAGGTACCCGCAACCACACCTGGCTAACTTTTGTATTTTTAGTGGAGACTAAAAATTTTATTTTTATTATAGTATTTTAGTTTTGCGATTTTGACCAGGCTGGTCTCAAACTCCTGACCTCAAGTGATCTGCCCTCCTTGGCCTCCCAAAGTGCTTGGATTATAGGCGTGAGCCAGTGCGCCCGGCCAGTGTCATTTTGTTTTCATGAAATGAGTCCGTATTATGCACATTGCTCTGCAGCTTTTTGTTTTTCCCAGCTTGTTTTTAACAGAGTATCAAATGGACTTCCTTGCAAATCTGTCCTATTAACATGAGGATCACAACTCAGATGCCTACAGGGGTTAGGCAGGTAACATAAATGAGTTAAATGGATCCAGTAGGAACTGCAGAAAACTGGAGATGTTTCATCTAACTGCGTCAGACATTACCCAACCGCAAACTACTGCCATTTGGAAATGTTGGCCCAGAGTTGCCAAATTTGAGTTTTCAAGAAGAGCAAGAAATCTGAATTTTTGAAATGTGCAATCTCCAGATTTTTAAATATTGGTAACAAATTCACATTAAATGCAGTGAACCAGCCCAAATGTCTTCAATCCAGACACTGCCCCTCCAGCCATCCTTCTGAAATTTCTATTGCCATGTATAATGTTCCACAGTGTAACTGTCAATACTTACTCAACATTTCTCCTATTGCTGGACACTTAGGCTATGACATTACAACTACTACACTCTGTATAAATCTTTGTGCTTATACAAATATAGAAATACAGCTTCCAAATTGCCCTCTAAAAGGTTGTACCAATTTATAGTCCTATAAACACTGCATGAGACTATCCTTTTCTGGGAAGCTTTAAACAGATTCCCAAGTGGTAACCCAGAGATCAGATGCAGTAGGTCCAAGATGAAACCCAAGACTGTGTGAGTGACCGGAATGACTCAGGTGATTCTGATGATCAGAGAGGTTTTGGAACTACCGTTTAAGCCTATTAACAAGCTGTTTGGGGCCATGAGCAGTGAATTATAGAACTGTACTTTCATTTGTACTTCTGTTTAATTTTATTTAGAGACAGGGTCTTGCTCTATCATCCCAGGAGTGCAGTGGTACAATCATAGCTCACTGAAGCCTTGAACTCATGGGCTCAAGTGATCCTCCCACCTCAGCCTCCAGAATAGCAAGGCCACAGGTATGTGCCACCATGTCTGGCTAATTTAAAAAAAAAATTTTTGTAGAGACAGGATCTTGCTATGTTGCCAGGCTAATCTCAAACTCCAGGCCTCAAAACAATCCTCCCACCTCAGCTTCCCAAAGTGCCAGGATTACAAATGGGAGCCACTGCATCTGGCCATCACTTCCATGTTGTACACTTTTCCCGCTAACTACAGCCCTCTATGCAAACACAAAAAAGGCTCTGCTGCTGCTGTTTCAAGTAGTTCTGTCAGAGTAGGACAACAAATAAACCAACTATGGAACCTTCAAGTGGCTTTTATTGGCAGAGCCTAGAAGAAGTGTCGTAGCCATTTCTGAGCAAAAATCTGTATCCCAGCAAGGTATTCAGTATTATGTTTAACACACTACTGAACCAGAAAGTTTAAGTTCCTGACACAGACGCAACCAGGTCACTAAAAGGCTCCTAAATCAACAGGTTAAGCCCCGCTGCTCTGTTAAGATCTGAAAGGCAAGACACAGTCCTGGATGTGTGCCCCTGATACAGGGTGACTAAAAAGGCAGGCAACAGTATCAAGGATTTTTTTTAGGTGTACTCCTGTGCACTCCCACATTGCATGAATGTGTTTCAGCAGCAGCACTCAGGTCTCCTCTTCATTCTGTATCTGCCTAAGCAATCTCTGCTTAGGACAAGTGTGGTCAGTCATAAAACATGATCATCAGGATGGTAGAGTTCACTCATCAGGCGGTAGATGTAGGAAGGTGCATTCCCACCAATGTTGGAGATAAAGAGGGTAATGAGCTCTGGTGGGACGTAGTCAAACACAGGGCAGTGCACGCTGACCTTCTCCAGAATGTCCCCTGAAAGGCAAGCACACGTGCTAAAGGTAAAACTGAGCTTCCCTCTCTCATAATTAAGTAGCATATAGATTCCAGCCTCGAGAGTGCAGGCATATTAGCTCCCCAAGGATGGGAAGCCATGAAAAAACACAAACCAGAAGAGATGACTTCAGATCATGACAACCCCTGCTTACAACTCTTCTGTGCCTCTGCATAGCCCTTAGAATAAAGTTCAAACTCAGGACTGAAATTTAAGATCTGGGCCCTCCCTGCCACACCACATGAATGACAATTTGGACCACTCTTCCCCTTGCTCATTACTGTCTAGCCATGTATGCCATCCTTTTCTAACTGGCTAAGCCCCCTGCACCAGCTCATGGAAAACTCTATGATCTTCATATGGTGGACTGTATTCATTCAGGACTCAGATGAAATGTCATCTCATTAAGACCCTTCCTCAATCTCAGTTAGGCCCCTAGCCACTTTCTATCACATCAGCCTTGCTTGTCCTCAGGCATCCCATGACCTGATACTTTCTCATCTGTCTTCCACAATAGAATGTGTGGGAACAAGGCCTTATCTTTTTCATTCATTGTTATATCTTCAGTGCCTAGAAGAGTGCTGGATACATTGTAGGTGCTCAGTAACTATTTCCTGAAGAATGAATGTTTATTTAAATAAAGGGATGAAGTCATTCAACTTCCAAGAGGAACTAGGACCCCAACTACTATGCGTTGCTCTCAGAGGGTGTATAAGGCCACCCTTGCTGATGAGGCTGCAGGCATAATGAGCTGAGCTGCTGCCTTCAGAAGAAGCCAGAGAAAAGAACCCTAACACATGAGATTATCCAGGCTACAGGCAAGTTTTCTAAGTAGGAACATTTCACAGCCTGCTTCCTGTGGGAGTCAATTTACCAAAATGATTCCTTATATAGCAGGAAAACAGGTACATTTTCCCAATTGGTTGTTGATATCTCAAAGAGCATGCAAAGCCAAACCCAGACAATGCTAGATGATCCAACCCACAGTAGCCCCAACAAATCTAAAATACATTCATCTCAGAACAAATTAACATGGACTTGATCAGGTCCTCAAGCACTTTGAGCTGCTAAAGAAAACAGTCCCCCCAAGAAGTATGATAAAATACACAACCTGACCGCATTCAGTTCTACTGACCAACAAAACAACAAAAAGACGAAAACACATGCACGCACAAACCCCAAATACACACAACACATGCACGCATGCGCACATGCACACACAGCTTTTGTACCTTCTGTGAATGGCAGGACTTCTTCAGGAGCCACAAACTTATGAAATGAGTCTTCTTCATTGGGGAACTAGAAAGGAAAAAATTTTTCAAAACTAGAGACCCAGCAATTCCACTCCTAGATATGTACCCTAGAGAAATGAAAACATATGTTCACACAGAAAATTTATACACAGATGCTTATAGCATGATTATTCACAAAAGCCAAAAGGTGGAACCAACCCAAATGCCCATAAACAGATGAATGGATTAAACTGTGGTATGTTCATATAATGGAATATTATTCAGCCTCGAAAGGAAATTCTGACATTACAACATGGATGAACTTTGAAAACATTGTGCTAAGTGAAAAAAGTCAGGCACAACATGTCACGTATTATATGATTCCTTTTATACAAAATGGACAAATCCATAGAGACAGGAGCAGATTAGAGGAGATGGGGAGAAGGAGAAATAGGGAGAGATTACTTAATGGGTACAGGGAGTTTTTCTAGAGTGGAGAAAAAGTTTTGAAACCAGAGAGTGGTGGTTGTACAATGCTGTGAATGTACTAGATACCACTAAATTGTATACTTTAAAATGGTTAATTATATGTTATGTGAATTTCACCTCAATTTAAAAAATAGAGACTATAAATAGTTTGATGTTTTCAAAGCAAATAGCTTCTATCACTGATGAAATGTCTCTTCACTTAGTCCCTGCTTGTATTCAGGTTACAAAGGACAGGCCCTGCAACAATAACAAAACTGATTCTATGATCCTAGTGTCAACCTGCTTGGCATTTTCAGAAATGGTCAGGTGACGGGGAGTGGTGGCAATCGTAAGGAAAGGACCTTTCCCAACTACATATTGTCCTCACAATCTTGCCTTCCTAAAGCTGGCAGCTTAGAACTCTCAACTATTTTACTGAATCAAGGCTTCTGTGGTTCTTTCCAGCCTCCACTGGGTGTAATCCATTGAGTAAATGCAGATAAATGGAGGCCCTGGAGTGAGTTGGTTGAAGTCCCAGAGTTCAAGCCTACCCTTTGGCTTCCTTCTTTCTGCTGGCTTCTAGCTAGAGACAGACACACATACCTGTGGGGAAAGTTTGAACATAGGTGCACAGACGATGAGTGGGGTGGAATGGTGTTTTGCTGCCAGTGCCAGAGTGTGAGTTCCTGTCACAGCTCTCAGGGCACCATTGGCCAGGATGGTCTTCGTGCCAATGATTACCTTTGAGACAAGAAGAAAAATGTGAGTCATCCTGGGGGTGACGCCTTAAAAGGGCCACTGGCCACAAAAAGCTGAATGCTCAGGCCTCAGAATGGTATCGTGAGGGGTCACAGACTGGTAGAGGGGAAGGGATCCCTGGCTCAGTACAAGTTCTAGCTTAAAAGTAGGTTGCCAAGGAAAGAATGAATGTAAAATGGGACAAGAAACTGCAAAACCTACTGCTCTCAGTCCCATATTTTCTGGAAATTGAGATGCCATACCTTCTGAGAAGCCAGGAACCTTTTCCATTCACTATCCACAACTGCCAAGCTCTTTGAGCATAAGGCAGGAGCCCTGTAGCCAATCCCTAGCAACTGACACTCTTGCTTTAGTTCTATTTAATACTTCATTCTTTTCAATGCTTCAACCAAATTTAGAGGCTACTCCAAGAGAGGAACAATGATGCAGAAAAAGGGAAAAGAAATTCAGTTAACAGATTAAAAATGCCTGCATATGTACTTTGAAAGGTGCTAGAAACTTCTTTCTCTCACCATGGATATTACAGGAGATAAAAATCAATTTTAGAAACATAATCTTCATGAATTCAACATAACTCCAAATATACCCACCTTGTTGACTCTTGACATAACGGCAAAAATGGCAGCATCAGTCATGACAGTTGTCTCAATACCTGCTTTGGACAAATTCACAGCCATTTCATGACCCTGCAATGGGAGGGAAAGGCTGATTCTAAGAGAAAGAGTGAGAAATAGTGAAAAGTGCTCTCAAATGTAACTGGATCTGGGGAATTGTGTGATATGGGCATATCCAGCACATAATTTCCAATAGATAACTCATTTTTCCGACAACTAAGTTTTTGGACTATCATAGCTCTGGTAAGCTGTAGGGAAGCCCAGGGGAAGCTAATAAATGTCTAATGCTCCAGTCACAAAACTGGAAATACAACGTGCGTGTATAACATAATCACGATTGCTGACAAGATAGCTCCTGGCTCATTATTTTAAAACGTCCTGCATCCTTACATATTTCCTTTTTGAGACCTATTATTTACTTAGGATCGAGTGAGGTCAGACCAAGCATCAGTCATCCCCAAGGTAATTTACCCTGCTTTGATTCCTAAAAGAACCAACCTATGTTTCCTTGGACCCATCAGTTCACCACCATTTTTTTTTTTTTTTTTTTTTTTTTGAGATAGAGTCTTGCTCTGTGGTATAGGCTGGAGTGCAGTGGTGCTATCTTGGCTCATTGCAACCTCTGCTTTCCAGGTTCAAGCAATTCTCCTGCCTCAACCTCCAGAGTAGCTGGGATTACAGGCATGCACCAGCACGCCCAGCTAATTTTTGTATCTTTAGTAGAGATGGGGTTTCGTCATGTTGGCCAGGCTGCTATCGAACTCCTGACCTCAGGTGATCCGCCAGCCTCAGCCTCCCAAAGTGCTGGGATTACGGGCATGAACCACCGCTCCCAGTCCCAACTTTCTTAAACCGCTATTTAAGAATGTTCACAGGACGAACACCTTGAAAATTGCCTTAATGTTTTAGTTTATCTTCTCAGTGTCTCAAAGTCTTGCTTATCAATTCGAGGTTGGAATGGCCCTACCCATCCCTTGTTTATTTCTTCTTCATTTTCCATTTTTCTTAGTAGCAGCTACAGCAGTCTCCTTACCTGGCAGAAAGGAGCGCACTCTGCTACAATGACATGGAATTTCCTCTTTCGGGCAGCCTCTTGGAGGAAGGCCTCTACTGTTCGGGAGAAGCCAATGGTCATGATCACCTCATTGGAGTGAATGTGCTCCAGAGCCTGGGCTGCAATGTTCTCCGTTGTCCCTTCTGTAAGAACAGTTTTGGAAGAAAAAAAAAAAAAAAAAAAAAATATATATATATATATATATATATATATGAAATTGCTATGCTATATCACAAACACATTATGAGTGTATGGAAAAAGATGTCTGCCCTTCACATGCACTGCCAACCTAGCAGACCCTGGTACCACAGGGTTAATGTGCTTAAAGTGAAATGTCACAATTTTTTTTTTTTTAAATAGAGATAGGGTCCCACTATGTTGCCCAGGCTGGTTTTGAACTCCTGGTCGCAAGCAATCCATTCACCTTGGCCTCCCAAAGTTGTGGGATTACAGGTGTGAGCCACCACGCCCAGCTATGTCACAATTTCTTAAAAGCCCCAGTCTGGGATTTTCTGCCTGCCCTCTTCCAGAAGTACCCCTATCTATCAACCACTTCTGTCACTACACAGCTCCTTACAACCGATTTTGAAGACAGTGAATTCAGCCAAGGAATGGCAATCTGAGAAATCCTAAAGTGCTGAGACTCGGGTAAACAGAGCTTCTGCCTAAAAGAACTCTTCCTTCAAAAGGTGGCCACAACACTTCTACGTGAGAGAGAATAGCCAGAGAAGAAAAACGGCGGGGGGGAATTTGGAAGCAGCTTCTTCATCATCTGATTATAATGAATATCTGCAAGTCACTTGGACCGCAATGACAAGGGGGATAGAAATGGTATACGTGTACGTGTGTATAAAAATTCAGAGATAGTGAAGGACGTCTATCGACCTGGTACTCTAGGGAGTTCATCTTCTTTACAATGAAAATAAAACTCTGTCCTAATAGAGTCTGTGCCACTGCACAGACTTGCAGTCTATCAAGGGTTGGTCTGTAAGGAAAAGTAGAGAGGGTTACTTTGGTCCCGTCACCTGCTGCAACATTTCCTAATCAGGAAGGAGGACAAACCTCCGAGAACCAGAAGACTGGTAATATCCCATCTCTGCTAATGAACAACCTTCAGGGGCTTCTGTTGCCTTATTTGCCTGTGACCAGTCCCATTTTCCCAGCGATCAGGCCTCTTACCCAGCTCCACTAGCAGCTCATTAATCGCCTCAATGATGTTGGACTGGAGTTGGGCATAATGGAAGCTGAAATCCTCGTTCAGGCCTCCGGACGTCAACAGTTTGTGCAGGGACTCCTGCTGATCACTCTCGTCGCTGCGTCCATGGAGTCTATAGAGGCAACAAGACCCAAAGAGAGAGGTGGGGAGGAGTGGTCAGGCAGGTAACAAGGGCTGCCCAGCTCCAGTAAAGTCTCCGAGCAGGGAGAGGGCCCGTGGAAAAAGTGTCACTGGATCCAACCCGGAGCCCAGGACGTGAGCCTGACCTGCCATACTCCTCCCGGATAATCTTGAGCACTCTCCGCACCATGTTGCCCACGGTGGTCTCGGAGGGCTGAGCGGCCGTCATCCTCCTGCCCTCTCTGCGGATCAGCTCCATCAGCTCCCCTACAGTCCAAAAGAGAGAGGATAAGAGGAGCCAACGCGAAGTGAGGCCTGGGAAACTTTCAGCCTTGGGATCGGGTAGAGACAGGGGCCAGGTTCGCTGACAGAGGCAGACCGGCCTCACCCGCGTTGCTCCAGCGGTGGTCCGTGATGATCTGGCGTAGCAGCCCCAGGGTCTCCCGAGCCATTTCCTCGGAGCTGCGTGGCCCACCACCCCGCTTCAGGGTCTCCACGAAGCTCTCGATCCTCTCTGACAACTCCGAGCCCTTCGCTGCTGACCCCGGCATCTCTAAGGTAGCTGCCTTCAGCCTTCACCGGCGGAATCCACACCTGCCAGACCACACAGTTTGCACTTCCGGGGCGGGCGAGGTCGGCTTCCGCCGTGAGGGGAGGGGGGAAACCACAAGTTTGAGGGAAAGCAGGCCACGCCCCTCGTTGCCACTCTCCCGCCCCCTTCCTCTGCCTGAGCCAATCACAGACGTGGGGCTCGGGTTGTTCAGTTACAACCGGGCCCGCGCGCCTCGGGGGCTGCAGGCTAGGAAGCGGCGTTTCTTGGCTCAGCCGACGGTGAACGGAAGTAACCCGTCCGGCCTGTAGAGGGTGGCTGGTCCTGTTGCTATGGGAGCAGCAAGTCTCTACGCGCCCCTCACCGCGACTTAAGGCTACACTGAAGAAGTTGCAGCACTCCCTCCTGTCTTCCCAGCTCGGTGACCGCCCGAGCTGTCACTCCTGAGTGTCAGCTGACACTGACGTTCCGAATGCGTGTCCAGGGTCGGCTGCCCCTTGGGCAGATGTCTCACTTTTGTTCTGTTACATTATTTGGTACCGTTTGCGCCTGTATCTAGTAGGTTCATCTCTCTGAAAACAAGGACGATATCTTTTGTTGCTTTTGTATTCTCAAGGCCTAACACGTCTGATAGAAGATAGCGAAATTAAGAGATGAGGAAGACTACGAACCATTAAGGAGATTCAAAGTGGGAGCCAATACAGAAGCAAAGATAACATCCTCCGATTTGGACAGAATTGTCCTCCTACAGAGAGGCCAGAGAGTATAACATAATACCAAGAGTTACCATTTACTTAAAGCTTACTGGATGTTGGGAACTGTGTGTGAATTGTCTCAGTTAATAAGGTCTGAAATAGGTCCTCTTATCTCCATTTTACAGATTGGAAAACAGACCCACAGAATTTAAGCAGTTAATAAATGATTGGGTTCATACTTAAATCCAGGTCTTCCTGAACCCAAAGTCTGTGTGTAATAGAAATCTCTATTTCCTTAAGATAAATTCTTCAAAGTGGAATCCTTAGGCGAGCACATTTTAAAGACTTTTGTTACAATTAACAAATTGCCCTCCAAAAAAATTATGTCAATACCAAAGTTAGCCAAAGGTAGTACAAAGAAAAGAAAATTACAGGTTAATATCTCTCATGAACATAGGAAGCAAAAATTGCAACAAATTATTAGCACATCAAATCCTGCAATACATAAAAAAAGAATAATATGTAATTACAAAGTAAAACGTAAACCTGGAATGCAAAGCTGATCAAATACTTAAAAATCAATGTCATGTGCCATACTAACAATCTAAGAAGTAATACCACATGATCATGTCAATTGATGCAGGAAGAAGCATTTGACAAAATTTGATATTCATGATACAAACTCAGAAAACTAGAACAAAAGGGAACTTCCTGAACTTCATAAGAGATATCTACAAAATCCTACACCAAAAATCATACTTCACAGTAAAAGATTGATTTCTCCCTAAGATCAGGACAAGGCAAGGATGTCTACTTTCACCACTCCCATTTAACATCAATATGTGAAGTCCTAGCCCTCGCAATAAGGCAAGAAAAAGAAAAAGCATACAGAATGGAAAGAAACTGTCCCTGTTCACAGGAGACATGATAGTCTACACAGAAAATCCCAGAGTCAACAGCAACAAAAACAAAACCTCCTAGAACATAAGTTTAGCAAGGATACAAAAACTGTATTTCTATGTACTAGCAATGAATATCAGAAATTGAAGTTGAAAACACAGTCGCTCTAAAAAGCCATAAAATATTTGTCAGTTTTGCTGTGTTAGTTTTTATTTATTGACTTGTTTATTTTGAGACAGGGTCTCACGCTGTTGCCCAGGCTGGAGTGCAGTGGCATGCTCACTGCTCACTGTAGCCTCAACCTCCCCAGGCTCAAATAATCCTCCCACCTCAGCCTCTTGAGTAGCTGGGACTACAGGCACACACCACCATGCTGGATAATTGTATGTTAATTTTTAAATGTCTTTAAAATTGTATCAATTTACATGCTGGCTAGCAGTTACCATATTATAGCCAATTTTGGATATTGTCATTATTTTTTTGTATATCAAGTCATTAAAAAATAAGGTATATAGGCCAGGCATAGTGGCTCATGCCTGTAATCCCAGCACTTTGGGAGGCCAAGGTGGGCAGATCACCTGAAGGTCAAGAGTTTGGGACCAGCCTGGCCAACATGGCAAAACCCTGTCTCTACCAAAAATACAAAAATTAGCCAGGGGTGGTGGCACATGTTTGTAGTCCCAGCTACTAGGGAAGCTGAGGCAGGAGAATAGCTTGAACCTGGGAGGTGGAGGTTGCAGTGAACTGAGATTGTGCCACTGCACTCCAGCCTGGGTGACAGAGCAAAACTGTGTCTCAAAAACAAACAACAACAACAAAAACCAAGGTGTATAGTATTTTATATATACTAAAGAATTTTTATGTGTGTGTATGCAAATTATAAAGCATGACGACGAACAGGTTGAGGAATGTGAACCAATTCCTCACTTTGAAACTAAAATACTTGAATTAACAGAGATAGAAAGCAAAGCTGTGTTGGCCAGGCATAGTAGCTCACACCTGAATCCCAGCACTTTGGGAGGACAAGGTGGGAGGATGGCTTGAGCCCAAGAGTTGAAACCAGCACTGACAACAAGACCCCCATCTGTACAAAAAAATTTAAAAATTAGCTAGATGTGGTGATACATGTCTGTAGTCCCAACTACTTGGGAGGCTGATGGGGGAGGATCTCTTGAGCCTGGGAGGTCAAGGCTGCAGTGAGCTATGTATGATCCTGCAGTGAGCTATGATCCTGCCACTGCACTCCAGCTTGGGCAGCAGGGCAAGACCCTGTCTCAAAAAAAGATAATGAAAAGAAAGAAAGTAGAACTGTGGTTGCTAGGGTCTGAGGGGAGGGAGAGAGTTACTGTTTAATGGCTACAGAGTTTTAGTTTTGCAAGTTGAAAAGAGTTCTAGAGATAGATGGTGGATAATGGTTGTGCATTTATATTGCACAACAACGTGAATGTACTTCATGCCAGTTTGGTTTCACTAAACTGTACACTTAAAAAGGTTAAGATGGTAAAATGTATGTTCTGCGTTATTTTACAATTTAGGAAATATGTGGTATGTTTCACTTTTTTCTGCTCAGTAGGACATTCATAAAATTTATCCATGTTACATGTACCTGTAATTCTCTTATTTGCACTGGTGAATTTGTACTGGTGAGAACTTGTAGTTCTCTTATTTGCACTAGTATTTCACGTGACTGTAGCATAATTTATGTATTCATTTTTTTTCAACAGACGTTTGGGTTGTTTCCAGTCTTTTTAGGGAGGTGGGTGAACATAAACTATAAATAGTCCTGTGTATGTCTTGGCACTTATATAAGTGGAACAGCTAGATCAGAGGCTATATGAATGTTCAACTTTACAAATAGATCTAATTGTACAAAGTGGTTCAATTAATGTATGCTCCCTCCAGCAATATTTAAAGAGTTTCAGCTGACCTACATCCTTACTGACATGTGATATTATCAAATATCTTATTATTTGGGAATCAGGTAGGTATAAAAGGATATTTTACTGTGGTCTTAATTTGCATTTTCCTGATTACTGTTCATTATTTTCATGTGTTTGTTGGCCATGAGTTTTTTGTGAATTGTTTGTTTGTGCCTTTTACCTACTGTTTTTGGCTTAAAAAATTTTCCAAGTAGATTTGCAGGAGTTTATATATTCTAGATACTAATCTTCTTTCAAATATTTATCATATGAATAAATATCTTCTCCAAATTATGGCTTATATTCTTTACTTTGAGATGTCTTTGAGCAGAATTCTTGATTTTAATGTGTTAAAAGGTATCAACCTTGTCTTTTATATGTAATGCCTTTTCTGTCTTATTTCAGAAATTCAGCCAAGCACAGTGGATTTGCCAGGTGTTGGGATTACATACCTATAATCCCAAAAATTTGGGAGGCCAAGGTAGGAGGATCACTTGAAGCGAGGAGTTCTAGACCAGTCTGGGAAAAATAGCAAGACCCCATCTATACAAGAAATTTTTTAAATTAGCCAAGTGTGGTGGCATGTGCCTGTAGTGCCAGCTACTTGGGAGGCTGAGGTGAGAGGTTTGCTTGAGCCTAGGAGTTTGAAGTTACAGTGAGCTGTGATAGCACCACTGCACTCCAGCCTAAGCAACAGAGTGTGACTTCAACTCAAAAAAATGAAAAAATAAAAAAATCCATCCAGGTGCAGTGGCTCACGCCTGTAATCCCAGTACTTTGGGAGGCCAAGGCAGGAGGATCACTTGAGCTCCAAAGCTTGAGACCAGCCTGGGTAACAGAGTAAGACCTTGTCTCTACAAAAAAAAAATGTTTTTTTAATTAGCCGGGAATGGTGACTCACACCTCTGGTCCCAGCTACTTGGGAGGCTACAGTGGGAGGATCTCTTGAGTCTGGGAAGTCAAGGCTGCAGTGAGCTGTGATCATACTACTGCACTCCAGCCTGAGTGGCAGAGTGAGTCCCTGTCTGGAAAAAAAAAAAAGAAAAAAAAAAGAAAACAGAAGAAATTCTCCCCTAATCCACAATTACAAATATAATCTCCTATATTTTCTTCTGGTTATTAAAAAAATTATCTTTACATATAATTTGGAATTGCTTTTTATGTAAGGTGAGAGGTGTGAATCCAATTTTGTTTTTCCATTCTTCAGTGATTTTTAATGTCACCACTGTCATATGTCAAGTTTCTATAATGTGTGAGTCTGTTTGGCAGCTATTTGGTTTCATTGCTGAATTTGCCTATTTCTGAATCAATATGACGTTATCTTAACTATTGTCTGTTTTTTTTTTTTTTTTTTTTTTAAGATAGGGCCTCACTCTGTTGCCCAGACTGGAGTGCAGTGGTGCCAGCACAGCTCACTGTGGTCTTTTTGAATATGATGCCTGGATACTGCAGCTATCTTGTGACCTGAGGTCTCAAGACTTGGGAAGAAAGTTAACATGCTGAGGATGGGAGAACAGAAAAACAGAAAGAAGCTGGAATCTTTTTTTTTTAAAACTTAACAATACGTTTTGGAGATTATCCCATAGCATTCCATAAA